AAAAAAAAGGAGTGACCGCAAGAAAATAAAGCGAACGGGTTTTCGGCCTTCGACTCCAGCTTCGTTTCAACTCAGCTTCTCCACAGACGTGTACACCTCAAGGCAGCTAAGAATTTTAATCAGGCAGAAACTTGATTAAAGCTCATGATCAAGAAGCACGATTCAAAAATAAAACCGAAAAAATCCCAAATTTACCAGTCAGAGCAGTCCAGCGCGTCCGACTTTCGGGCCTATTTTTAGTCTTTGAAACAACTAGAGATAGCGGCAGAAGGCCGGAAGGATGTTCTTTAAACATTTCCAAAGCCAAAAACCTAATGAAAATCCAGACTCCCACCTGCACCAGAGACAGATCTTCCCTTCTTCTCTAGGAGAATCCTTTATTCTCACGCGAACGCGGTATCCCGCACCGTGGGGATGCCCAAAGTGGCCTGGAGAAGCTCGAACCCCACCGTTCACAGGGAAGAATCACGCCGTGAGAGCAAAGCTGCGACTCCGATTCGTTGGCGTTCTTCAGGGAAGGGCAGGAAACGCGCAATAGAGAAGGCGGATGAAACCCTATTCGACAAACCCCGTTTGGAACCCTTCCGTTATCTCCAAACTGAAGGAAATACGGGAGATCGGGTTTAAAAAAATCATGAAAAAAAATAAATTCCGGCGCTCAACCTGCCTCGCTTCTCAGAGAGCATCGGAGGAATACGCGGAGCGACGTGAGCTCTGGGGGTTTAAGAACTTGGTTGATTCCATCCCACGGACAATCGCCGCTCGCTCTCTTTGAGGCGGAGGTGACACCGAGCTCCTCCGTGCCCTCAGCCGGGACCCCGAGGGCTTCGCTTTCGGTGGCCCCGGCTTCAACGCGGCGCGGGTGAAGCTCCCCCCTCCGGCCGCGTTTTACATCACCTGTTATTGTTCCGACAATTTCGGCAACTGATGCACTCCGAGGGGTCGGCTTGCGGCACCGCTGTGTACATCCCACCGCCCTGCAGCAGGAAGGATGAAAAAAAAAACAAACCAAGAAACACACCATAATAATTAAAAAATTAATAATAATTAAAAAAATAATCAATCACTGTTTGAACGTACGAGAGATGGTCACGCAGAGCGGAGGAGGCAGTTGAGCGCCAGACCCCTTCCACTATCCTTTTCCAACCCCAACCACCTGATCCGCCTTCCGATCGGTGGCCCGTCACGTGGCACGGCGACACCGAGCCATCATACGACGACAAGCTCAGACGAGCAGGCGGTCATTTCCCCCCGGTCCGTTTTCAGCTCAAGGTTTCATTTAATAACCGCGCTGTAAATACGTTTATTTTTAACACCGACGACAGGCACGAAAGCCAATCACCGTTCGTTAGCGAACCGTGCCCGTTGCCAATCGCCGTTCGTTAGCGAACCGTGCCCGTTCGGGGAGAGAAGGTATTAAATTGGCGGGGCCGATGTCACGACATAAACCCATCCCGCCTTCCTGTAATTCCTCCCATTGGATCAGTTTACTTGGCGACGCCGATTTTTGAAACGTTTCCTATTTTTTCCAGATGGGGTCGTTCCTTAGCCAGCACCGACTCCGGGGAGGGGGGGAAAAAGAGGGATTTTGTGTTGTTAGTTTTGGCCGATGGGGAGGGGGGGCGGTTTACAAGCGAGGAAAAATGCCCAAATTAACACATAGCTCATCGTTAAAGACCGGGCGGACGCCGACGTCGCTCGAAAAGGGCGCTGCCGAGCCGGGCTACGGGAGGGGAACCAGTTTGGGAAAGCTCACCCCATTTTTGTTGGTTTGAAGGCTACGTAACTTCTACCAAGCCCTATACCTCCAAAATCAAGGCTTATCCTTCCATTTTTGAGTGCGATAGGGAGCGCCGAGGAAAGGCCTAATTGGACTTGATCGCCATCCCGGCGGCTTTCTCTCTTCCTCGTTTAGCCCCAATCAACGAAACAATAACGAGAATCCTAAAGGAGGATGAGAAGGTCCCGTTCCTCTGCGCTGCCTCAACCTCCTGCCGGTCCCGGTCCTTCGACGCGGGAAGAGATTGAGCGACTCAAACTTTCTACAACATGGAAGAAGGGGTGGGGACAAAAAAATAAAGATTTGCTTTTCCCCGCTCCATCCCCCCCCCAAAAAAAAAATAATCAGGAGGGATAAAACACCTACGGAAGCCCCCACACTTTCTCCCCGATGAGCTTTGGAGCAGCGCAGATATCCTCCTCTTCCTCAGGGCTTCTACGGTGGGAGAATTTTGGAGAGTTTCACCCATCGGCAGGACCGGAGAGGTCCAAAAAAAACCCCACGGTTTGGGAATCGGTTGCTCCAGATCGACCGAAAACCAGCATTTTTCGCTACACGGGCGGGCCAAAGAGAGAAGCGGGTGCAAACCCAACCGGTCTGGACTCCAAGCCGGAGTTTAACCAAAGTGGCAACTGCTGTGCAAGTGCTAATTTGTTATTCAATAAAACGAAGCGCTTGCGTTCAATTACGAACACAAACAACAGCCCCCTTTTTCTTTTTTTCTCCCCCCCCTCCAGAAACAGCACGGGTTATTCAGACTTTTGAACTTTTTCTTCCAGTTTTCCTGGGCAACGCTCAGAGTTTTGAGGGCGTTGAAGCGAGTCTGAACGCAAGCCAGCTGCTTCCCTAGACAATAATGAAATCATTATTCTCTCTTGGAAACGGGAGGCGTTTCAGCAAATGAAGTTCTTTTTCCGCAGCGGCTGGATCGCAGACTCCCAATCGGTTTTTCCATTCGATTTGAAATTTCAAAACCAACCCCCCCCCAAAAAAATAAATAAATAAATAAAAATAATGAGCTTGTCTCGGTCACAAACAAAGGACCGAGGAGCGCATTACGTTGCGGCATTTCAAGATGGAGGGGGCGGTTTGTTTTAGGGAACCTCCCGCTACATTCGTGCTTGGCCGTAATTAATAGCATCGCTTGGAGTTACAGATCTGAAACAGGTGGGGGGTGAGGGGGTGGGGGGAAAAAAAAGCCAACCAAACCAAAACCGGGCGCTCCATAAAGCTGCAGAACAAGCGGCTGTAATTAAATCTATTTAACGCGAAGATTGAGAAACACCATATGTAGGAGGGAAGTATCTCAGCCCGGTACCGGAGCATTCTCAGAGCTCACACGCTGTTTAGGAGGAGGGTAGAGCCAGATTTCCCAGAGCAAGCGGAATTCTTGCCGTCATCTGATATCCTCAAATGGGAACCATGATGGTGGTATCAAAAATATCGTCCCAGTGGCTTCCTCTGGGAGAAGTCGTTTAGTGGAACTGGCTGTTATCAACGGCTGAGCGTCTCCCCCCACCCGAATCCGGTCTGCGTCCCCCGACCTCTGCGTAAATCCCCAAGGTTTAGGCTGAGCTTCCCGCCCGCCGTAAGAGCTTACGTTGACAAGACGGTGGGGATGTTCGTAGTCCCCGCGCGTCCCGGACGGGGAGTTGGCGTGCCCCGCGTACAGCCCAGCTCCTCCGTTGACGATGCCGTTAACGCCGTTAGCCATTTTGTGATGGAGGTGCGGGCAACCGTTGCTCAGCCCGCCGTTGCTTCTGAAGTTGCCGTGGATGGCGCCGTCGAGTCGGCTCGTGCCGGGCAAGCCGGCGTACTCCATCATTTGCCCGCTGATATCTGCCCCTTGGTAGAGGTAGCCAGGAGGGTCGTACTCTGCAAGAGACGTAATTACCGAAAGCGTATTTATTGCCAAATGGGAGGTTAAGAACCAAAGAATAAACTTCTCTAAGAACCAAAATAAACTTGTTTTCTCTTTCTGCAGCTTTGGTAAATTAACTGTAATAACTAAACGCTCAGTGTACAAACGTAGAAATGGAAAACAGCCACGTGCTGGAGAACAGACGGGGAATGCCGGTCTGAAAGGACTCGGCTGACGTCCGGCACTACGAAGAGCGCCCTAAACCCTATTGTATAATCAACAGCCCCTCCGCTATCCGCTACAAACTCCTTCCAGAAAACCAAAAAATAATAAAAATCTCTCTGGGACGCAGCTGAAGACATTCTCTTACCTCGCCACAAGTTTTGTTTTCGTTTCTCTTTGCCAGAGAGTAAGGACGGTGAAAAAGAACCGCGGGCCGCGGCGAGAGCGGCGGCTGATTTAGGCATTACGCCCAGAAAAGACCACCGAAGAGATTCTGCCAGCGCAGGATCGCTCGGTGGGTACGGAGCACCTTGCAAAGCACGCCCAAACTCCGGCGCGTCTGCTCGAGGCTCCTACTTGCAAAGGGACAGGTTCTCCTTATTACCACCTCTCGGAAAAATTTGGACGCTGAATTCTATTTTACTGCGAAGGGAGCGAGAGGTAACGAGGGACTTGTCCTCCGCGCGCTGCCCGTTCTTTTTCTTTCCAGATATACCCCAGAGAGGGAGAGGGAGAGATCGGGGGTTTGAGCCTCCACGTTTTAACAAGTACTTACGATCACAGGCGAGTTCTGCCGGCAGCAGAAACCTGTGCTTCAAGTTGAACACAAGCTGAGGAAAAACTTTGCCAATGCGTTTCACACACCCTTCTCCGGGTGAAGCTGCAGCACGACCGTAGAGCGTCGCGAGCACCAGCGAAAAGAAACCGAGACGCTGCTGCTCTTAAAAAACCCCAAATCTTCACCTAAGGCACACCGAGGACGGACAAATCTCTAAATAGAAACGCCGGTCGGCTTGTACCAGGAAACCCCTTCCCGTTCGTAAAACGTAATATGAACATCACTAATTTGACTCCGACGGTCTTTTCATCGTGAAAGGGGACCAGAAATCACTCACTCTGCATGGCGTTCTGCTGACGGTTCTTCCAGAGGCACATGGCGATGAAAACGATGAGGATGAGGACCATCACCCCGAGGACGCAGCCCACAATCAAGTAGAGCATGTCGCCGCTGCGCACGGGGCCGTTGGAAGGACCAGTTCCGCTTCCCCCGACCCGGTCGGGGGGATTCGGTGGCGTGCTCAGGTCCTTCACCGGATCTTCGGATGCTCCCGGCGCGCGTTTCACTGGATGAAATAAGAGACAAATACGGGCGCATTCGCTAAACGCGGTTTGGAATCGTGGGGTTGTGGGTTTTTTTAAATCATGAAATGAAAATCATAACGACCGCTGAGTTAGAATCCTAACGCCTCGAAGAGAAAGCTTCCGAATCAATATTAAAACCTAAAACGAGAAGGCCAACTACTCTTTGCCTCGGAAACCGGTTATTATCCAGCTTGCTAACCCTCTCATTGAGGTCACTCGAAACTTTAACGAGCGACTCGCCGTCGGCACGGCTACAACTGCGCTAACTCCCAACTGGAAAGAGCGCAAATCTTTCCACTCCTGAGGTCAGGAGAAACCACAACACGCATTTCCATCGCCGAACCGCTGCCGGATGAACCGACTTTTTACCCGACGTGAACCCGGCTGACCCCGTTTCCGAAACCGCGCTGTTTAAGATACTAAGAGCTGAACCAGAAAAAAAAAAAATAAATAAATCAGGGAAAACGAGACGCTCGCCTAACCCAGGAATTAAATTCACCGCTCGTTCGCGGCGCGCCACAGCTCCGATTCGTTCCGTTGGACACCGAGAACCTGAAAGAAGGGCTCAGCTTCGGAGCGAAGGCGGTCCGAGAGACACAAGCGCCTCCGTGCCGGCGAGTTAGAGAAGTTGGATCACCCCCATCAGCCCCGGAGGAGAAAGGCGTTTTAGGGAAGAGTCAGTACGAACGACAGATTGCGTCTCGCCAAGTTTAAAAGTAGGGAGGAAAGTTACATTCCTCGCAGGAGGAAGACCAACCGTGCGCGTAGCTCCCAGCCCTTCCTTCCAAGGGCTTCGCTCCTAACTTCGCTAAATGTTGACGCTTCCGCTCCTAGAGGGCTTTTCTCCCCTTTTTTTTTTAAAAAAAAGGGCTTTTCTCCCTTTTTTTTTTTTAAAAAAAAAGGGCTTTTCTCCCTTTTTTTATTTTTAAAAAAAAGGGCTTTTCTCCCTTTTTTTATTTAAAAAGGGGCTTTTCTCCCTTTTTTTTAAAAAAAAGGGGCTTTTCTCCCTTTTTTTTATAAAAAAAAGG